GTCATAAAAATGATTTTCTTTTTTCTCTATCTTTCTCTCTTTCTTTCTCTTTCTCTCTCCCTCTCTCTAAAATTTCAAGAAAAATAATATTCATATACATATATTATATGAGTTTCTTTTAAAATGACAATTGAAATGATTGATCAGTCAAGTGTAAAACAATGCGTTTATACCTTTGTCCCAGTGTTTGTTAAATATAAAATTTAATTTTAAGATTAAATATACAAAAGCGTATATGTATATATATCAGCGTTAACGCGTGGCAGCAGCTCATTACGGTTCTTCTTCTGATGATAATAAGAAAAAAAAAAAAAGCTAGCTTTGTCGCATCGAAGAAGCGATGATCTTCCAAAAAATAACGATTTTATTGTTTTCGTTCTTTTGACAGTCCACTAAGAAATCCACGGCAAAACGGCGCAGATTCGCAGGTATGCAAATCTAGAAATGAAATTTCTCTCTCTCTCTCGAGATTTTTCTTTTAGCCTTATAAAAGGGTCAATGGTAGACTGCTGCTAGCGGTACATGTCAGGTTTCTAAATGATTTTTAATGAAATTATTATTTTGCATACACACACAAATTATGTTATCTAATATTAAGTTAAATATCTTTTATTTTTATGCATCAATTTGCTTTTATAATTACGTTTTTCTAAACAGGGAATAACATAATTTCTATATTATTATATCCATGTTTGGAAAAAAAAAAAGAAACATTGAATTAGTACTTTTTTGTTCCCATTAATTCATATATGCCAATTTAATATGTATATACATAATTATTCATAGTTTATTTGAATACCTAATTTTATATAAGAACAAAGTTGAAATAATATTTGAAAATTTATATGCCTTCTTGACTTTTGATGATGTGTCGTTCTTGTGAGATTTTTGCACAATGTGTAATTCTTAGCTCTATAGATTACATTTACCTTTATTATAATGCATTTTAAATGTTTTAGCACATGTAATAAAATGTATCCATTACATGTACATTCTTGCAATCCATAAATGTCACATTTGTGTTTTTCTATTGGCATCATGCAATATATATCATTTGTTTATTATCCTACAGGATAGAATACTATCATTTTTGATAATCTTTTTTTTTATATATATGTTTATGTAATCATAAATCTATCAATCATATTATCCTGCTATTTTATACATTGGCGATACTTGATTTTAGTATGGTTATTCACTTTTAGAAAACGTAAAATTTATTTTTATCCAAATATAACATAACGTAGAAAATAATAGAGATAGATTTTAATTAATCCAATAGCCGAGTTCTCGTAGACATATTTATATAAATATGTATAATGTTACAAAGTGTATATAAAAAAAAAAGCGTAAAACGGGAAGACCAAAACGATGGACATAATAATGCGAATGTACATAATAAGTATAAGTATCAAATTTTATAAACACAAACACTGGGGTAAAGGGTACACTTAAAGCAGCAATCTATATATGTTAATTTCATTTAATTATTACTTCATCCATTTATAATTTTTTTTAGTATATTATCCTAAATATATAATATATTTATATTTGCTTTCATTTTATATATGTTTTATTTTATTCTTTTTCAGAGCATCCAATTATAATCTGATATATACATTGAATATTACATGAAATATTTTCTTTATTATAGAACTATGGAAATATATTTACAGTGTAATAGTTGTAGATAGATTGTCACCATTTCAAAAGTAATATTTGTACTATCTAAGTATCGCTAAACTACACGCTTATGCCATTCAAAATAATCTCTTTAGTATATTGTCTGTGATTGTTCTTTTTTTTTTTAATAATTTTAATCATTTTATTTTTTCCCATTTTTCGTTAGTAGAGTTGATCAAGTATAATTAATGTTTGTGTCCCACGCTTTTGTAATTTACTTAAGTTAATCATTTTTGCTTGCAGCATTATCATAAGTATTTATTGCCTTAACAGGAACAGTAAATTATTATTATTTTCTATAGTCGCTGGTTTTTTCTTTGTAATGCTTAGTAGCATTTTTGGTGATGGTGGTGTGTTAATAGTGGTGGTAATTATTTTAACACATAAGTTTTGTTATTTCTACGCGTGTTTATTTGATTGTTTACTTAAAAATATTGTATGGTATATATAGTTGCATATAGAACATATTATATTATGTAACGCTCGTTATCAGATGACTTATCACTTCATGATCGATAAATTGATGATCTCAAAATATGACCTCGTTTGAAATTGGTATTATTTTTAATTTTTAAAGTCATCTATTTTTATTATGATTAATGAATTCTTATCACCAAGTAGAATATTTCGAATCAATCTAATTATTTCATAATTTTTATCTTTCGAATGGTTGAGAAAAAAAGAGGTCGAAGTTAAGGGTATTACGTGACAATTTTTTTATTCATTGCGATACGATAACACGCATGCACATATACGCGAATTTTGAAAATCTAGCATTCACATATTATTATTAATAATATAATTATATGCGTAGACACATATATGATCTTTCGATATTATAAATGATCGTTCTAAGAAAACACGCATTTAAATGTTTATCAATTTTATAACATAATATAAATATGCATCTTACACTAAAAACTTATGCTTTATTGTTTAATTAGTATCGGACAAAATGATGTACAGGAAACAAATCTATTTGCTTTTATATGTAATTTTTAAATTGTCTAGTTCTAATGATAATTATAAATGATGTTTATACTTTCAGGGTGGTTCAAGAAAAAAGTAACTTCAAAGAACAAGCTACGTTAACGTACCATGTCTTAGAATGGTAAAAAAAGAATTGGAATAAAAAGAGTATAAAATAATGTATATGGAACCAGAATGTACACATAAACGGCAAAACTTTGCTACTGAAAAGACTAATATAACAATTTAAAATATATTACGAATATAATGTTTATTATATGAAGAATACCATATTTTATTATGTGGAGAAAATGTAAACAATTAAACTTTAATAGTTAGTAAATAAGAGACATTGAAGCCGATATTTGCTATCAATAATATTAGAAGAGAAGCATAAGTAACGATTAACATAAGAAGAATTATATATTATTTATGCGTTATCCATTTGTTGCCTTTTTACGTGTTTTATATAATTCAATTTTATCTTCTTTCTCAAAACTATCGTAATAATGTTTATTACCGTTCTTAAGATTTTATAATTATAATGCGTTCATAACTAAAAGTTACTTGATTATACTTGGTAATGTCTCTTTTTTTCTAACAGATTTTTTAAATTTACATATATGTACGATGAAATAAATTATTTCTGTAAAAGAATTTCTCCATATGTAAAACAGTATGGTGTTAATATCACATTTTTAGACATTTTTTCACATTGTTAAAGCATTTGTACACGAAAGCTAAAAATCGTTAAGAAGTTATATATGTGCAATAAATGAACAAAATGAAATAATCTTATACGTAAATAAATAAATAAAATAAAAAAAAAGAATGAGATGAAGAAAAATTATGATAGAAACAAAATTTACAGATATATGATCAGGATAATATAGAGTTCTTTGGTTTTATATGCCAAAGTTGTTTTCTCATAAGAGTTATCTATAAATGGATAAAACACACACACACATACAATTATGCAGGCCTCTATGTATATAGAATTACATAGGCGTAATCTTTAAATTTTGTTTTAGAAGACAATAATTTAAAACATTTCTATTATTGTGAAATCTTATGAACAATTTTTTTTATTTAGTGTTAACCAAGCACGCATTGGTCGATAAAAAGCAGAGTTTGGAAGCATTTAGAGAAGAACTCGTTTGGTTTTAGTTTGGACAAAATTTATATTTAGTTTTTGTTAATTTTGAGTCACAAAGTTGTGAATCACGAATAACGAAAATACTCTTTTTGATGACGCAACAAACGATTCGTTCGCATTAGATAATAAAAGAAGTACCTACTTTTTTGAGATATATTAACAAATCTAATGATGAGTTATGTCTATTGTTAATATATGATTTTAGAATTAACATAATTAAAATCACTTTTTTCTAATCGCATGTATATTCTATCGGGTGACGAAAAGACAAATTAAAAATAGCACTTTTTTTTGTATGATCAATTTGATAATACATTCATTCACAATTATTATTTTCCATTAACCTCGAGATGATCTGTATATCATTTAATTTAATCATTAATTTGATCGAGTTTATTATATTTCGTTGATTTTTTTCTTTCCTTTTTTTCTTAAACAATAAAGTGAATTATGCATTGTACTTATTCGTATCATATATATAATGTTTAAAGACTTAGAACTTAGTTCATTAAATTTCATTGTACTATTTTTTCTTTTCTTTTTTTTCAATATTATAATATGATTTCAATTGATGTTATGCAATTATATTAATGATATCGGATAAAATTGTAGCGTACAAAAAATATTTGAAGAATTTGGAAAAAAAAGAAAAAAAAAAACATTTTAATAACACGTTGTTGAATCAGTGCACAACAATTATTATTGTATTCTTCTATTAATTAAAATATATTTCTCGTAGATCATTCTGAGAACGAGATCAATTGTTTTAATTTGATTAGGAATTATTATATACCGTAGCTTCCACGTAATATTAGTAAAACACGAGAAAAACAAAGTTATTGTGTCAAAAAACAAAAACTGTTTATCGTTTATATTTTTATTAATGTTTTAATAACGAAATACTCTCAATATGAAAGACAAAATATTATGTCGATAAAATTAATCGGTTCAAAAATCCTGATAGTGTATCAGGTATTAATTGTAATATAAAAAGTAATAATTATTATTATTATATATATGGAAATAAATGCACGTAATTATAAATCTGACATTTGTGTCTATTACTTATTTTTTAATATTAATCTAACGGCGTATAATAAGTTTTTTATTTTGTATCACGCGACCGCTTAAGTCGTTAAACATTTTTTATTAATTAATTTTTTAATATCGAGTTAATAAAAACATCATATACAAAAAATAGCTCATTTTTATTCTTATACATATAATTATTTTGGTTGCAAAATTGCTGCTTCATATAATCTATAATTCTTAGTTGTTTTAATTCTGAAAAAGAAAATGATATAAGAAAGTAAAATCGATGTTTAAATTAGATTAATAAATGAAATATATGTCTATTTGATTAAAAATATGATATCAGAGTAATGGATCAAATATCACAGATATATGTACAACATTTCTATAATCCTATCTCTTTGTGTTATCATTCATTATATCAATTTAACATCGTTTGCAAAAATCCTAGTATGTAACTTCCTAAGTCTTCATCTTGATTAGTCCAAGAAACATAAACACTTTTTTGTTCATCTTCGTCGCCTTCTACTTTAACTAAAACAGATTCTACAGAGATCGAACCATCTGTCAATTGTACTGTCCAACCTGCTAATCTCTCTTTAAGAGGTTGCAACAATTTCAAAGTAGTAGAATGTGCTGGTCCAGGATCTCGAACTTGTACAGTAGAAGTAAATCGTACTACGTGTTTAGTTATACCTGCTGCTTTAGCAACCTAATGAAAGAAGATTTTAATTATACTATAGCACTATAAACGAATTCTGAAAGTTTTTATCTTATTAATATTTGACATATTACTTCGTCTGCATCGACTAGGCAAACGCCATCTTCTCTCAGCATTAAAACACTATGTAATAATCTGCGTCTTTTAGGATCTGGTGGCAAAGCAGAATATCTTTTTGCTTCTGCTTTTAGTAAAGCAAGGGAAGCATCTACCGGAACTTTAGAAGTTGTTGTAATAGCGATTGTTTCTCCATTAGCAGGATTGTAACAATTTGTACCAAATTCTTGTTTAATTTTCTCTTTTAAAAATTCCATCTTTGCAAATTCGCCATGTACTAACATAACATTTTTAGGTTCGCAGTATTGTATCAATTGCATGATGCCTTTCGCATCTGCGTGCGCGGAAAAAGACATATATTCCACAGCCATTTTAACTTCGACTATTTGACGATTTTCAAATTCTATTCTACGTGCTCCATTTAAGACTTTACGTCCAACTGTACCTTGTACGCAAAATCCGGGCATGATTACCATATTGGCTTCATTCGGTGCCCATTTCTTAAAAATTTGTAAGGATAAACCAGCATGTAACATTCCTGGTGTTGCAAATACGACCATTGCACCTGGATTATCGATATATGATTTATCGAATGGTTTTATATGCTTAAAATCAAACATATTCCGTTGCACAAAAGTCTTTTTTATTTTTTGATTGGTCCAAGTGATAAACATTTTATAATAATTGTTTGCTTTTTCGGTCAAACCCAAAGCAAAATAAACTGGTACTTTTAAATTCATTCTTTCCCAATATGTTTCAAGTAATATACAAAGTTCTTGAGCTCTACCAAGAGCAAATACAGGAATTAAAACTTTCCCACCTCTATCAATGCATTCGTGAACCTACGAGCAAAAGTATTTGTATTTAAAGAATTTCAGCTATTATCAATGTATCAATAACTTTATTTATGAATACCTTTTTCAAAAAATCTCTTTCCCTACATCTTTTGGAATCTCTGATTGTAGTAGCGTATGTGGATTCTGATATTAATAAATCTGGTCTACATTTATCTATCCATGCTGCACCCAAATGACGATCTGGTGTCATATTGTAATCACCTGTATACACAATTGATTGAGATCCTACGCGTACCCAAAACATAGCTGCCCCAAGAACGTGTCCTGCGTAATATGCTTTTATTTCTAATTCTGAATCTACCATGACTGATTGATGGAGGGTAACAGCAATGACTTTTTTCATACAATCTTTAATCATTTGCGATGTGAAAAAGTTACTTTCTCCTTTACGTTCTACAGCTACTTTTCTCATGTCTTCTAAAAGTATAGGAGCAATAGCTTTAGTAGGATGGGTCATATAAATTGGTCCTGTATAGCCTACCTATAAACAAAATTATTTGATAAATAAGAATATTACGATAATACAAGTTACATGAATCTATTAAGTGCTGTATATCGGTCACTGGTGACTGATGAAATAAATTTAGTATATCAATAGTAATGAATGATGATTCTCCAAAGAGACACATCAAGCGCTGAATATAATTGTGAGTTTGCATTTTACTTACTACATAATTATATTGAATGTAGTAAATTGAAAGGTAAACAAAGTAGAGACAGCATTTAATGCAATAAAAAGATTTTACCATTTCTGTAAAGTACGGAAGAGCTCCGCAGTGATCCAAATGAAAGTGGGAAATAATAACGCAATCTATGTAACCAGTCGCAGGTCCTTCTGGTACAATATACGAGAAATCAGGGAATCGTCTTTCGTCATTGAATCCCATATGCATACCGCAATCAAACATGATATTTTTTCCTCCTAGCGATACAAGTATACAACTCCTCCCAACATCTTGACCCGCACCTAAAGGCGTTACTTTTATTTCCGGCATAGTTCAGCTTATCTGTCATTAAAAGATGAATAATTAACAAAATATAAAAGATTATTTGTATATTTTCTTTTTATGATTTTGTTGATGCATGCAAAGCTAACCTCAATGTTTGATTATAATGTATCACTTTAGTCTATCAATTCAATTAAGTTGTGTAATATTGATTATTAACAATTGATAACGAGTAAAATATAAAACAATAGTTTAACGTTATTTAACTTTTAGGTATTTTGATTATCAACAAATATACAGGAAACACATGCTGTTTATATCTTTTGAATGCACTTATTACACACATTTACATATACGTTCAAGATCATGTATAATGAAGTTATTACGTTTCTAATTTTTAATTAAATTAATAATACGTAGTAGTATTTAATTACAATTTATTAGTTCACGTAATAAATAAAAATAATTTTTCTAATTACTAGTTTAAAAAATCAAAGAATACAGAAGTACTTAGAAACTCACAAATTCCCTTTTTTATCTACCCAGTTTGATTTTTGTTACTACTGAGACCACCAGCAGGCGATAGTAGGTACTTAACACGATGTCGGTACAATACTACCAAAGAATACAATATTCTTTGATAGTATATGATAGTATATGATATATTCTTTGATATTATATATAGTACAGTTCTATTGTAATAAAATTTTAAATAAATGTATTTATTTTTAGTGTATAAACGTGTGTGCCTTCAGAAATGCATTTATTAAAAAAAGTAGTAATTTAAGGCGTTGAAATAGAACAAAATCTCAGATGTTTGTTGTTAAATCCAACGATGATCACCTGTAACAAAAAGAAAACTATATTAATCATACCATCAAGTGATACAATAGCCTGACATATAAATCGTCCAATTCGCAGATGCACTTTACAACCATTTACATTAACCATTTACAATATTATTTATTCGTTTGATTGCGACATTTAATTATAATAGCACTATAGTGCATCCTAAATTAATTATTAATTATATATCGTACATTACGTATTGTAAACATGCAATCTATTTTTAAAATAAAAATAACAAAACACGCTCGATAATTTGTAACACTGCAAGTGTATGTAAAATCGATTAGAATTATAAACATGTCAGTTTATAAATTTTTTGTAATAATCGACAGATTAAATAACCTAATTTTTAGTCTCGTTGTATCGATTAATTGCTGAATAAAAAACATTATGGTTCAAAGAAACGATGATTATTTAAATTTAGCATGCATTAAAGAAAAGATTGTTAACAAGGAACATAATTGTTATTGCTGTGGTCGCGTTATTTGCGACAATCACACATTTAATGATGAGATAAATATTGATAACATTAAGAAAAATTGCAAAGATACGGAAAATTCCGAAACATCGTCTTGTCGATCGTGTTTAACGGGTTGCAATTATCCAAGTAAACAGAAATATGTCCAGGATTGTAAAAAATCAAAGATCGAATGCACAAGTATCCAAAAATGTATGGGGGATGATTTGATTGAAGCTGAAATTTGTCAAAATGACGTCAAGATTAAACCGTGCACAAATTTTCGAAATATTAAATGCAATGCATCTTCGTCGAAATCGAAATTCATCAGTGATCGCAATGATGCTTGTCAAAATATTTTCTCGAAAGAAACCAAATTAAATGGCGAAGATACTTGCGAGAAAAAAAATTCGTGCATGAAATTGGGTTGTTTAGAATTGGACGATCCCGACGTCTGTACACGCATTCCTTCGATAATTCAACATATCGAACAATGTAAACAAAATTTTTTGGAGATAATCCAAGCCTCTTTGATGAACATTGGCAAAACTAAAGATCCGGAACAAATAATCCGTTCGACGTTACGCACTGCGCGTGCTAAAGAAATCGATTGTTTATTAGAAACACAAAAAACAGGAGATACAAATACGTACGAAAAATCTTTATCGAATCGAAATGAATTTGAATTTTTAAAGAATTTTTCTAAAAATGATTTTCTTTCTACGGCTTGTAAAGATTTAAATGTGTTTGATAAATTGAAATCGGAAGTTTGTGGACCATGTGGGGTCAACAATGTTGTACCTTGCATGAAAGACGACGATAAGTTGAACAAAACAAAAGTAAACTTCAAATTTATAAATTAATAGTTGTTTTTTTTTTATAATATTTTTGTAACAATAGTGTTTAAATGATCTCAGATACAAATAATGATTAAACTTGATCTTTTTTAAAATAATTTGACGATTAGACGTTAGGGGATTACAATGACGAGGAGATAAGCGAGTTTGTTAAAATCATAGATCTAAAATTGAGAGATGAACTTACGAAAAATCTTCGGAAAAATATGTGTGCCGATGATTCGGTCGTTTTAAAGAATTCGTATTATTGCGTGGCAACGCTTTGCCCGTGTATGACGAAGAATTATGGTTTGAATGGACCTCTCATACTTGGACCATTTAATTTTGGTCCACAAAATGAACAGATCAACGTGTGTCAAAACAAATTAGATCAATCGGAAAGTATCTGCAGTTCTCTTGATAGTATTAACTCTTTTCATTATTCTGATTGCATCGCTGACAGTGACACCAATGATTGTAATGATTCTACAAATTTGTCCAGTGCATCTTCTCAGAACGTAATTTGCCCTAAATTAGTTGAAGTAAGTGTTTCTGTATAATCGTGGATTAATTTATTATCATTAACAAAGAATTTTCCGGATTTAAGTGCAACGAAACTGAGCTATCAAGAAAAATCACAAAATGCAGGAAAAAAACACCTATTGTACTTGACCATCATTGCAGTTATGTTTCCTTTCCCGACAAAAGAGCGGAAGAACATTTGGAAAAATCGTATTCAAAAAAATCAGAAGAAGTTGCTAAATGGGGTAAATGTGGTGACGTGGTTGATTCTGTTTTCTACGAACGGGATGAAAGAATAAAAATATGTGAAGAAATGGGTCTTAATATAAAAGTTACTGAACAAGATTCGAAGAAAGTTTCTTGTAAACGTAAGAACGCTGACGAAGATAAATTTTTGTTAACTCGTGTGTGTGGATTGGATGAACTATGTAAATCGAAATTGCGTTCCTGTAAAAGAAAAGAAACAGAGGATGATGTATCTAAGCATATTTGCAGTAAACCGTCGCATACTTGTCGAGTTGGTTTCGATGGTGCCTGCATTACTGGGGATGACTTTGATAACTTGGAGAGGTTTCACGATATTGGAAGTTATGGATTTGCTAAACTTTGTCGGAAACTTTTTAAATGGTTTGCTATTCTTATTTACGATCATTTCAATTTAGATTGTTTGTTATTGCATCGTACTCTGGATTGTATTAAAATAGCAATTTAATTTTAGGGTCCATTGTATATCTAAAAATTGGCACGATTTGAGAAGTTATCCCCACATCGTCGTTCATTTGCCTTCATTGAATTACAATAACGAATTGAAATGTAGAGCAAGAAAAACCTTTGATTATTTGCAAAATATTCAAGTTATCGATCTTTCACGTAAATTCTATTGTTCTATCAAAACTTTAGAATGAAAAACACATGGTTGGTTTTCTGTAGGTAGGTCGAGTAGGGTGGCTAGATGATCCAAACGTTGAGGTAATTTATGTTTTCCCGACACCACAAAGTGAAGAATTGTTGACCATGTTGCGAGATTTAATAATTAGCGTACGTCCGGATGTTGATGTATCCAAGAGATTGTTAATGTTACGACCAGAACCCAAATGGTATATTTCATTTTCTATATTTAATGAATTTATTCAATTACGTATACCATTGAAGATCAATTTTTTGCAGTCTTATGAAAAAATGTGTCAGCGGTAGTGCAAATTTATTTTTTTCACCTGACGTTTATCGAAGAGTCAGATCCTTGACAGCTGGTAGACATGCGTTCATTTTATCTGGAGTTATAGATCAGAACAATATTTTTATTGCTTGCGAGTTGAAAATACCGATTATGGGTAAATAGTTGTTAAATGCTCATAATTTTGATAATACAGTACAGATAGTAGAATTATTTGGACAAACTGTTTCCTAAAATTGACTTTACAGTAATTAACACAAGTTTCTATGCCATACTTTGTATTTCATTTTTTTCCTAATTTATCTGTTGAAAAATGAATCGTACAGGTCCGCCATTGCAGTTTCAAAAACGATTATCAAGCAAATCATACATAATGGAATTATTGGACGTTAATAAAATTCAGCATCCTCCATTTCTACACGTTCACAGTTTTGGTCAGGTGATCACATTTAAATAATATTTAACAATATTATATTTAATGAAGTTTTACGTAATTATGATACGTATTATGAACGTAAGTTCGATAATTACCAGAATGGATAAAGTTCATTCGATTTATTATTTACTTTGTGTAATATCGATTTTATTATTTAGTTGTGCAGAGGCATGGCTGTTATGATAATCCAATATCCAATGTACAAGACGTGGTTCGTAAAAATAGATAATGGCTTTTACGGATATCAAACTGCTATAGTTCGTTTCAAAACAGGTATACTTGGTAGTGTGATCAGAAACATAGTAAGTTTCATATTAATAACATTAAAAAAATATCAATCTAGAATAGAGAAAAATGATTCTATTAATCCTTTTGTGTTACGAGAACGACAAATAATATCTAATACAAAAATACAATATTTTATCAATGATAGAATGAATTGAAAAGGACATATTTGATTTCTTTAATTTGTAGGAACGAACGGGCAATATAAACGAAAATTATTTGTGCAAATTGTTGGCTGAAATTTTGCCCATAGAAATGCAAGTACAGAAATCGATTTATCCGAATCATAAAGAATTTTTTCACGATTTGGAATCGTTCGGTAAATTTGATCTTAATTGTGGGAATAGATTCGACGATTAGACGATTTTTATTTGAATTTAATTTAATTAGGTGGTATAATACAAGCTTGTCCAAACAATTATTACGACGTTTTAAGCATCGGTGTGTTCATCGAACATGACTTGGCTAAACCCGTTATTATCACAGCTGCAGAAATTATTCACTTTGGTCGAGACATTAGAAACGATATGGCATATTTCTTACCTCAAAATAAACTTCTTCGTAACGAGCTCGATCAACTGGTGAACAATGTTGGGACAATTTTACGAAACGAACACGTTGTTGGATACTTTGGCATCGATCTTGTTTCTTTTCGTGATCAATTTGACGTAGGAATATACGCGCACACTTAAACGTCATTTAAAAAAAAAAAATCAAAATAATTTCAAACATTTCGAATTTTGTATCATCATTTTTTCAACATTCGTTTGATTTTTTAAATCAGAATTTGGGATACGAATAAATGTATTAATATTGCTCGTATTGTTTTTGAATTAGGTTCAACAGTTTTGGGTGATAGATATAGATCCATATTATACTGATTTAATAGCATTCAGCGATTGGGTAAAATTTTGTGTTGGTTCGTCTAAGGATGGTAACGCGAAGTAAGTTTCTAATTACATTTTTAAAGTAGATGATTTTAATTTGATATTAAAATGAATTTGCACTTATCGTAGATACACGCAACAAAATACGAATGAATCGAAGGTCAGTAACATAACCGAATTGTTAATCAAAGTTAACAGACACGCTATTTGCTGTGGTAAACTTTTTGGCACCGGTTTGTCAAAATATTGTGGACAAACTTTAATTAATCTCTGCAAACAAAATCAAATATATTACGACAATCAGGTACTATTCAAATATTTCATTTTATTTAGGTATAAATTAATTATAATAATTATGATATTCGTAAAGATTATTTTGAAACGTTCCAAAAAAATATTCGATATTCTATTTTTTTACAACATTATTTTAAATAAATATTTAAAGAATTTTATATATATTTATTAACCTTGAAAAATCATTTAATGTATTACACAATCGTGTATTTGTTTTGAAGGAAAAAGTAGGCTGCATGGTGTATCCAACAGATAGCCATAATCGTGCGCTCAACGTTGTGTCGATAAATTCAACGAGATTGTTGACGATAAAAAAATTTATTGAAGCTTTGAAAGTATTAAATCAATTATCGTTGAGAAACAATATTCGTGATACATTGGTGGACACCGTAGATTTGTGCAATCATTTCAAATTGATCCGATAAATGTTCCTATCAAATCTAATATTTTATTCAAATAAAAATAAACTACAGATATTTCCTTGCAAAAAATATTTATAATAAATATAAAAAATCTAACAGATAATATATATATATGTATAAAAAATTTAGAGACAATAAAAATACCGAATATCGGGATATTGATTGTAACAATCTATTTGAAGAATTGATATCTTTATAATGCTTTATAAAATCTGAGATTGATTCTCATGCTGTTTTGAAATATATATACGAAAATAAATTAAGTGAGATTTTTGCAAACTTAGTAATTGTACTGCGTATTTATTTAGCTTTATCTGTTTTAGAGAAAGGAGTTTTTCCAGATTAAAAATTATTAAGAACTATTTACGTTCTGCAAAGTATCAAGAACGGTTAATTGATTTATCAGTTATATCTATTGAAAATGGTATTCTAGATGTATATTAAATTAATATTTAATATTAGTGATATAATAATTAAAAATGTTGTGCCGGTCAAAGCCCGAAAAATTAATATATAAATAATTATATAATGTATAATAAGAGAGAATAATTATAATAAATCAATATTGTCTTTATATTCTATTCTCTTTGTTGTAATATAATAATCTTGTATTATAGAAAAGAGGGCTAAATTTCTTTTGCATACAAACTAATCTTAACCATGTGACGGCCCTGTTAACATTATAGTTCATCATTGTAACTGTACTTACTTGTTTCCAACTCTGTTTAAGAGTAATTGATGAAGAAGTTTCGTATAATAAATCACTATTAACAAGGATCGTTTCGACTTATTTTAAAAGACGTCAACAGTTAGAATAAACTGTATAATTCATTTTAATGAATAACACAATTTAATTTCTCTTTCCATTTATTTTTAAATGTATTTGCGAACATCGTAGGTATATTGAAAAAAGAAATTTGAAAACATTTCTTACCTGTTAAACCACGTGGAATAATTATTATGTATTGGAAACAAAAAATAAAAACAGAAACCTATTAAATTATAGTAAATTCGAAGTAACGTCGAGTCGAAGATTACACTTGAAATGAATAATAAAGAAAAAAAAAACAAAAAAAATTAAAAATAAAATTAGTAGGAAGGATGTGGCGTAGAAAATATGAAAAAATACGAGAGGAACCCATTTGTTCCTTTTATTAAACGATAATTTTCGAATAAAACGACCTCGAAGGTTGGACTTCTCTCCCTCTTTCTCTCTCTCTCTTTTTTCATTTCTGCGTGTGTGTGTGTGTGTGTTTCTATAAACATCAATCTTCGTCTCTGTCATTTAATTATTTTCGTAATTACAATGATGGTAATTAAAATTCTTAAGTTAATTTTAGAATACTGTTACGGGATTTATCGAGGAATTCGCGTTCTCATTAGCACGTATCTCATACTTAATTACTTTTTTTTTTGTTTCTTTGTTTGTTTTTTTTTTTTTTGACAAATTGTACGGCGCGAAGTTTTTATCGAGGATAGATATATTTTGTTGATAATATTATATTATTTTTTCTCCATAATTTCAAGTGTTTCGATTAAAAAGATTTCGTTTTTAAATTTGATATTTTTCCTTTTTTTTTTTTATCCGTAATATTCTCTCTCCGTGCGTTTTTATTCGGATGTCGTCGTCTTTTGTAAAATCATCATGGAAAACGTTGAGTTTACGAGTTTAGTCCTTGAAACAATTCTGCTCTCTTTTTTTTCTATATTCCCTTTTTTTCTTTTTTTCTTTTACTTTAAATCTTACCTTTAACCATTTTATTTTGTCTTTTTATTTATTAATGTTTTCGTTAGTTAAATGTAGTTTATTTCGTTTGTACAACGTTTGATCGTATTCTCGTTAAAAGTTGATGAAGATTAAAAACGATTAAATCGGTCAGTCGAATATATGCGACGGGTGTGCGTAACACACACAAACACATACATACATTTGTAATAATACTTAATTGACAGTTTTAATCGATTTTTTTTAAAGTTTATTTGTCACTCTAATATTACTGCGAGACCAATGCGATAATTATGCGCCGTCGACTTTTATTTGATGTATAACTTTTCACCAGAGATATATCATCTTTCCCCTTTTTATTTCTTTTCTCGACTTTATAAGTTGATTATTTTGTTCATTGTTTTATACGCGTAATTGAAATTTTTACGATCCTTCTTTATCAATCTTTCGTTGAATTTATTTTCTTATTCTTGTTGTACCTACACGTCCGAATACAAAAAAAAAAAATTCACGCGAGTTTGATTCCTCGAGCCAACAGTTTCCTCGCATTTTTTTTTTTGTTTGTTTTTTCTTTTTTCGTTTTTTTTTTCTTTTTTTCGTAAAAGGGTTTTTACAACAATCCTTAGGATTACGTGGACAACGTTTAATCTACTTTTTTATATTAATACAGGACGAATGAAAATAAAGGAGCAATGAGTTTTCTACATTATTTCTATCTTCTATCTTCTTTTTCTTTTTCTTTCTTTTTCTCTATCCGTTTTATTTTTTGATGATTTATAATAACTTAAATGAACGAAAGAGGAAATTGATTTTTGCTTTGATTAAAAGTATGCCAATTTATTTCACGATTGAGATATATTATCCTCTTGTTCGTTCTTTTATTTTAATTCGTCCTGTTAATTTCGGCGGTAGTATCGGAGGAAAAAAATAAGGATCAGATAAGGAAACGTATTTCGTATATGCAAATTTTTCTCCAATTTTTCTCTCGTAATATTTTCTGTTTTTTTTTTCTTTTTTGTTCTATTCTTCAATGGCGACGATTCTTTATTTTCTTTTTTTCTCTCTCTTTCTTTCTTTGTTTTTGTTTTATTTTTTTACTCTCTCGCTTTTTCCTTCTTTTATGCGCTCTCTCTCTCTCTCACACACTCTCTCTCTCTCTCTTTCTATTTTTATTTTAATTAATAGTAATTTATCTCTACCATCAAGTTTAATCGATCTTTAACATTAAATTTATCGAAATTTGGTGTTTAATTATATACTGGTCTCGGAAACAAAAATTTGATTTTTGAAAAGAGAGATGACAAAATCCATTTGATTTTTGGCTACAATAATTTAAATCAAATAATTTGTTAAATATATATATATCTTTCAAGCGAAGTTAAATAAAAAATAATAACATTAAAATAACCAGAGTCTTGGGTAAGTTTAGCGTTAAAGAAAACAAAAAGATAGTTAGATATCTTCCAATTAAAATCTACATTAAATTTTTATCGAGGAAACCAAACTTTTTTACGATTTATGTATTTGTTTTCTTTTTTTTTTTTTGTTTGCAAATAATTTTTTTTCTTCTCCTTATACTTTATTCGCTCGTTTATTAATTTTTAATGATATCTTTTTTAAGTATTTTCGAAATATTGCGACCCTGATGACACAAGTTTATTGAAATTTTTTATTCTTTTTTTTTGACGGACTTGCATTTATTGTTAGTGTAAAATTAGAAGTAAAGTAGATCGAATAATCGATCTAAATAGTTATTTCATTTTCTCTCTCTCTCTTTCCCTCTCTCTCCCTCTCTTCCTATCTCTCGCTTATTTTTTATTTTCCGTTTATTTCCGATTATTTCTAGTCGCGATATTTTTTAAATATACGAATAGTTAATCTTATTTACAACACAAACGACGAGTTCGAAGTCCACGTAGCTTAGAACAATTTCTTTCGTTTAATAATCGTTCGCCTATTTTCCGGTTTACATTGGTCAGGGTTACATCAAGTGCTTAATTGTATTATGTTTTTTGTTTTTGTTTTTTTTTTTTTGCCTTTTTTTTTTTTTTTTTTAAAAACGATACAATTCGTGGCTTTTAAGGAGAACTGTCTGTCTCCTTAAAAAAGTGAACGCAATTTAAAAATGCGATTTTTACGTCGAAAGAGACATTTTTTTTTTTTTTTTTTTTTTTTGTTTTTTTTTTTCCATTTATTTAATAATAATTATTTATTATTTTTCTTTATTCTCTCATCGTTTTTCTTTAATCATTAGTCTTACATCGTACGAAAACAAGGAAAACAAAGACAATTTTTTTATTCGAGTAAAATAATTTAGAGGAAGAAAAGAAAAATTGTAAACTAACCAATCGATTATCTACTAACCCTTTTTTTTTTGTTCCTTAATCACACACACATTTTCATAATAACTTTGTTTTTTCTTTTTTTTTTTTTTTTTATCGAGGAAAACGTAAGAATTCGTCTCGTGAATTCTAATCGTTCTACGCATAATTATTGTTAAACACGAATTGTAATAATAATAATAATAATAAAAAAAAAAAAGAAGATTATTTTTTATCTAATGTATATATATATATATATCGTACAAATTATCGACGACGAGACAATGAAATGATTTTTGTCTTATACCACATCCATCGCATCTTCTTCTTCTTCTTCTCCTTCTTTTTTCTTATTATTTTGTTTCCCTTCTTTATCATACTCTTCCTTATCGGATATATTATATTTTTTCTTTTGTTTATTTAATTAAAACTCTCGGGAGAATTTTGTTTGTATGCTTGTTGTAATGCATGTTATCGTAAATGCTTGTATGACGTACAAAAAATGATAAATTCTTAAAGTCGCATGAACCCAGTTTCTGCGATTGGGTATAACGTTTAAAAATTCATTTTCTTTTTATGTATATATAATATTGGAAATATTTCGAAGAGCTTAAAAGATGGTACGAATTTGTAAACAATAATTTTCTTTTGCATACATACATATGCATATATATATATATATATATATTCCAATCTGTGTCGATAATTATAACAGTGGATTGTAAGTTAAAATATATTTAGAATAAAATAATCGATATTATTATTTAT